GTCTGCTTTGCCCTCAGATGGGTGCCCCTGAATCTACAGAGATGATCCTGGGCCATACTGACACAATTCCACCATTTCTTGTCCCAAACAGACCCCTCTTTTCGAAACAATCTCTGGAGGTACTTTTTGTGCGCCTCGGCCTGGCGGGGAATTTTCCTTGAATTGGGACACTGCACCCCGTGGTGTCTGGATGATGGCACGTTGCGACGCAATGTTGGCGGCTACAGAACACCATAATTTACGATACACATTTCTGCCTCTCTCTAGTCTCTCCCAAGGTGACACAACTTGACGGCATGACGGCTCCCTTGCGTCGTGCCTTAACGTCGCAATGTCGTGCTTTAATGTCGTGCGTGCGCCTGAAGCACGACGCGATGCACGCACATGACGACGCGACGCGACGTGTGTTTCATGGTGTCTATAGAGGGCGCCATTACTATTTTCTTTCATTTCCACATCCTGCGCTTGCAAAATGCATGCCCAGAGCCGCAGGCATTGATTTTTCTCGTTTTTATTTCAGCCATTTATCAATTTTAACTAGTTTCTGTCAAGTGTTATTGGACAACTGCTCTCACATAATAAGTGTAAACCCAGAATTCGGCACTCTTTAACTACCAGCCGGTATCGGGACATCTCGTACCCGGGACTACTCGTGCCCCAAATTTCACACCCGTGACAACTCTTACCTGAGTCAACTCGTACCCGGAACATCTCGTACCCGGGACACTTCGTATCCGGGATAATTAATAAAAAATAATTTAAAAAATGCACTTTACTTGTGCTTAACTTGCTTTACAATTTTAATAAACGCTCTCCAGTAATGAAAACACTTTGGACAATATCACCATAGGTTGACTTTGGCTTTGGGCTTTCGTCTTTTTGTGAATTCCCAACCCCCCCAAAAAAGTTAGTATCAATCACGAACACAGAGAGTGAGGCCATTTTCAGTGTCTCCAAATCGGTGGTTCTGAGCTAGTCTTATTTCAGAAATTAGTGTCAATCACCGACAAAAAGACAAGAAAAGCCCATTTCACTGCTTACTGATCAGAGGTTTTTGCCTTAATTTCACAGGGCTGACAGACAGACAGCGGTGCTGCGGTGCAGCAGCCTCCCCTCTTTGGAATTTGCAGCCCGGCCCCCTTGGCCCGACATCTGCCCTATTTCTGGACGCTGGGTTGGTTTTCATTTCCGACTAAATCTCATGACCGTGCCATGCGCTAAGTTTCAAAAGTGTGTAGGCCTAGTGTGAATTCAGTAATAGAAACTGTTTGAACTTGAAGAATTTCAACCAATAGTTGGGGAAACTAGGCTGCCTCCATCGTGTCCAGGGTTCGAGAAAGTATAAAATTGTAAACATACTCCGTGACAAAAACACAGTGCTTGAGCGTTGATGGTACTGGCATGGGAGGTATGTAAGCAGCATGATTTGGTAAGCTTTTATGTATTTGAGAATATTGGGCATTTTATTGAAATTGCTTAGGGAAATGAAGTCCTTTTCCACACCGCAGTTTTAATTTGTATCGCAAATTTGTCAAGATTCTTATGTTTTCGGGAATGACATGAGACTATACGCATTTTTACGCTTCCCTCTAGCTTAGTCATCTCCATTATACTAGACACTAGGTTCAAAAAATTTTTATATGATAAATAAATGCAACTACATTTTCCACAATATTGCACAAAAGTATGATTACTTTCTTGTGTTGTTTGGGCATAACTGACGTTGCTCAGATGAGAAACTAGCTCTTAATCATCTTATTTCAAGATAAAAGATCAACTAAGGAAATGCATCTCAAAATTGCCAACGTTCATGTTTTTCAGGGATACGTCAAAAATATACCCCATTTCATGTCACTACTAGCAAAAATGTCACATACAGTGATCTGAATCCTCTCAAAGTTAATTAACATGTTTCCAAAATTAGTGCAGATACTGAATCCCAGAGGAAACAAATGTTGTGTTTACTAAACATCTGCATACAGAAAAGGAGTTCTTTGACGTTCTGTACACACTCGACAAAACATGCAAACAAGTTTACAAATGGATGACTGGAGTGTAGGGACTTCGCCGTCCGCTCTCCTTCTTAAAACTCCTGCCAGTAGCAGAAGATCCATCCCTGCGAGTTTTTGAACTTGCTCGTTTGGTGGCGATGGAGCGTCTTCTCCGAGACCAGCTTGAATTGTACTTGACCAACTTGAATGTGGCATCCATGAACCGCCGGGAACCCAGTGCTAACAGGGTAGAACCTGCTGGTTGGGTGTACAAAAGATGAGGCGACGTCTGTTCTTCACTTGTACATCCATCTGAAGGAATCTGATGGGTTAACAGATATGTATTGCAAGTTAGGCAAGACACCAACAATGTACAGTGGAACACTGTTATGGCAAGGTCCTAGGGACTCAAAAAATTACCTTGTTCTAATTGTCAGTAATGGAAAACTAAGAAGAAAATATTGGCTTGCAAATCTGATTTTATCGAAACTTCCCGTTAAGTTGGTGAAGACTTTCCTTCGTGGTTGCTTGACTTTCTAGCATCTAATTGGAATTTCAATAAAATAAAAACATACAAATTTACTTCACATATGTGATGACATGACCGTAACGGCCACCATGTGGGAAAAAAAAATCAATTATGTCCTCTCTGGGCCACCAGGATATAGTTATGTCTTGTGTTTTTGTACTGTGCCTTTCTTCGACGCGTCACAGTCAGATGATCGTAACCGCTAATCGTGCGCGGGCTGCGTCCGAATCACTTGGCTGCGGCTTGCAATTATGCACACTCACTATGAGAACAGGCCGCGGCCACTACCACAGACTCGTCGGGAATTTCAGGCTGTAACGGCCGGAGACTGGTGAGGTCGTGTCCGAAACGGGCTTCCCAGGCTGAGGTCGCGTCTACGTCTGTTGTCAGCGCGTTAAACCCATGGATAGAAGACATTTGGGTCCGCTGAGCGGCGCTATACAATCTTTGCTAGTAGTACGAACATTACACATGTAGAGGTCAGTACCCGTGCGGGTAGGTTGCATCTGCTTGGCATTGACATGTCATCAACGTGTAAAACAGACATTTTTACATGTACATTCGCAACTTGATCATATTGCACTCCGTTTCAAGAATTAACGTTTGTTCATTTCAGGGCATCCCGTCGATTTTCGCCCATTGAGTCGAGCATTAGTTGCCTGTCACTTGTATTGTAAGTAGCTGGTAGCCAAGTGTAAGTAGGCCCAGTAATTTTGCTAAGTAACGTTGGTTACCAGGGTTAGGCTTACCCCGTAGAAGTTAGCCCAGATGGACTCCCTGACCGTACTACGTAACGAAATGAACACAACGCGTGTGTCCAAACCTGGGCTACCCATAGTATAAAAACTAGAGCGCTGACTCATTTGTGCACAAACCTGTGGAAAACTTGAAAATTTGTACGGCTTTTGTACAGTAATTTGCCTTTCTGCATATATCTGCATTCCAAAAATGATACGTGTAGGTCATTGTCAAACTCAAAGCCAATATGCAAACCCCCTAAATGAACTGTCAGTAAATTAGGGTTTCGTTTTGCTCGCGCCAAAAAATGCAACCGACTCAATAACACTGACTGAATTAAGAGAACAAATTTTTAATGTAGCTGAACTTATTTATCAAAAGACAGCCATCAAAAGACATGCATAGGAAATCGGATCACCTTGCTCGAACGTTACGGAAACATTTGTTTTAAAATAATCAACTATGGATGTGCCGATGCTCTATGCCTGTGCATCTTATAGATGCGCTGACGTTTGCGTATGTTGGACTGGTACTTGAGCGTTGTATTTAGAATACATTACTCGATATTCATTCTATCCGATTGTAAATGTTCTACAAGCATGCACATGGATTCAAAATGTCTCTTATGCAAGGAAGTCGCTTTTGATCGCCTTTTAAAACATTTTGTCTTGAGTAGGCCCTGCATGTACTTCAAAAGTAAGGTGATTTGTAGAGTCCTTGCTCTATGCATGGAGGAATAAAACGTTGCCTCCATACCCAGTGATACTACTCGGACTCAGCCTAACCCCTTTTATGGAGCTTTCCATGGTCCAAGCATGGTGGTACCCTCAGAACTGCCTCAATATCATCTCAATAAAGGTCAATCATTACAGAAATGCTGAAAAGACATGAATCTGCATCTGAGAAAAATGTCCAATTTTGTTACAAAATACTCAGACAATTTTCTCCATGATTTTCGTGGCTCTCGACAGACATTTGTACACAACCCCTGCAGTGGAGCCAGAATGCAACATTCTTTCCTGGTCCTTGTACAATTGGCGTTAGGTATAAGTAGGCCCTGAAAAAAAAATTCATGTTAACAGCCCATAATGTGTTTCCTTTTTGGCATCAACCTGGGAAAAAAATCTCAGGAAAGAGAAAAAAATGATGTGAAAAAGCACAATTTTTAACTTTTTAACTAGAGTAGGCCTAATCTGTTGAAACATGAAGTACATGTAGGCCAACATGTGCTTGTTCAAAGGTCGAAGTGTTGGTCCATTTTTTCTGGTGGCGGAGGGGGAGGGGCAGGGGGCCAGTGGCTCCCCCCACTTTTTGCTGGTCCATAATGAAGTGGAGCGTAATGGATCCCTGGTACCTGATGGTCTCACAACTGCCCCCCCCCCACTTTGAAAATTGTTCTGCCACCATTGTCCAGTTCTGCATCATGCAGTACCTGTGGTCTCCCCACATCTTTGGTCAAGTCGAAATTTCACACTTGTCTGTGGAATTAAACATTTTAATCGCCGTTGCTATTGTTACACAAGTCTGTCTATTTCCATGTACCAGTCAGCTGCACTGAAAACAGGAGCCAGGCCAGTCTACTACGAATGGATCTCTTACTCTGTTTCCCTTCACAAAATCCTCCATGAGTATGAATCTACCAAAACAGAAAAAACACAAATATAGAAAGTAAAAATGCGTTCCGATTGAGAAAATGAAGAAAGGGAAGAAGAAAAAAAAATGGAAAAACAAATCCCATGAGTGGACTTGATCCTAGCATGGATTGTGTGGATTGTAGACCAGTGTCTGTACCCATTGGGCCACAGAACTGCAATGCCATAATTGTATGGGGAAATTGAAACTTCTATAGATTGGCAATGGTAATTGTGCAATGCCATAACTGCATGTACAGAATTTGGAAGTCACATTACGGTTACCGTATTGATAGCCACTTCGATTTTAAACATTCGGATATGAACTGGCAAACAATAATAATAGATCTCTATCACTTAATCATGTGCTACAGTCCTAGTTACTTGGACTAGGCCTTACCAATGGAAATGGCTGGCGTTTCAATACGACAACCTTTAGAGAACTGTCTGTTAAAAGTGTTTTGAATGTGTTCAGTTCTCTTATCCACCATGCCTTTTATTTTGTGCAATGTCTAACGACTGTTGGATAAGGTTGAGCCCATTTGAATACTTGAATATCCAAATATTTCAACTTCCATTTGATTGCATATTTGAATACGGCTGTTTCACAATAGTGCGCCGCCAAGAGTTTGCAACGCGTTGGCCAATCACAATGCGCAAAATTTGTCGACCCAATGCACGTTTGGAAAGGCTCAACAAATTTCGCGCCTTATGATTGGCCAACGTGTTGCAAACTCTTGGTGGCGCACTGTTGTGAATCGCCCGTGTTGGTTACACCAAATTCCTACAGGAGGATGGGAATTTCAACTGGTATTTAGTCCAAAAGGGTGGATTTATTTCCCTACAACAAAGTGGAAAAAATCAATAGGATATTTTAATTTTTAACCCAAATGTAGGCTCTGAGGCAGACATGGAAGGTGCAGCTACAAAAGTCATCGACCCTATCACTCTGGAATCTGAGGAAGGCCAGCAGCTCCTTGATGAAGCCGAAGCTTGTCAGTACATCCTGGTGGACATGTTCGACTTCCAGGCACATTCATCTCATTGCGGCATCCAGAGTGCTGCCCTCCTTATTGCCTCCTACGAATGCGGTAAAGCCTGCCGGGCAGCGGGCTACTGCAGCTTCAGGCACTGTGAGGACATCAAGAAGCAGTACCACGGCTTTGCCATGTTCAACTTCAAGGAGACGCAGGACATCATCACCCACGATGTCATCAAGACAAGGGGCACCACTTTGGAGGATGTGACCCAGATTTTACAGAACCACAAGCACGAAGCCACGGCATACCTCGCCCAAGAGTCCTCACTTGATGAGTTCCGGCAGCTAGCTGTGGAAGCCGTTCGTCAGGAGGATTCGAGCGCTGGAGTTATTGTGAACTTCCAGCGGTACCTCCTGGGTCAAATTGGGGAGGTCTCTCAGTATGGGCACCACAGTCCGCTGTGCGCATACCACAAGGGTTCCGACCGCTTTTTGATGCTGGATACCAATGTGGGAAAGCCCAAATTATGGCTGAAGACGGAAGATTTGTTCCAGTCAATGCAAGATGTTGATGTTGCCACTGGGAAGTCACGAGGGTTTGTGATCATGGGAGGAGTGGTGTGAGCTACGTATAACGGTTTGCATTTACCAGTGTGAATCAAATGGGGTATCTTATTGAAATAAATGTGGATATGCCCGGATAATCTTAGCCAGACAAGAAAACAACAAATGTGAAATGCGCTAAAATTGCCTGCTGCCAAAAATCGCCAACCTTTTAATGCAAATGTGACATTTGTTTTTTGCTTTCATCGTAGCCTTTTTTGTAATTTCCTGACATAAACATTTAAAACCTTTCCGTTTCTTTAAACATTCCAAAAAAATGTTTGACTCCCCCGCCCCCCTGTACTTACTTGCGTATGTGTGACTGCATTCAATTTGACACTCGTGTCACTTTTCTGATCTGGTTACATGTACTTGGGAAAGTATCCCACAAAAATATGTTGACTAATTATGATAAAATGGAAAGAAAAATGCCGTTGTTAATCTGAGTTCAGAAAGGTTGTTGCAACTCGCATGTAGAGACAAATTGGCTTCAGTGAGTTACGTGAAATATGCAAGTACTGTACATGTATGTCCAATGCATGTGATGGTTTGAATTTGTTCTGTATATGTCCATGTAATCTCTGCATGACCTTTTGACCCAGTTGGCACCTAGTTACCTAAGATTAGTCATTTATCATACATTGCTCAGGCTTACCTAACCCTATGAGGACATCAACTGCAAGTATAACCGAAGTAATCAAACATGCTGAAAGTTATTTCATTCGCATAGGTGATCTTGGTTACCCAGTTCCATAATTAAGAACTATTTCCTGGCATCATTTGTTGGGCACTAGGGTTACTGGTTTGGATGGACAGCCCTAGTGAGAGCATAGCAACTGGGTCATTCTATAAATTTGGGGTCCATATTTTTCCCCATCCCTGTTATGTCTGGCATATGATTTGTTAATGTTCAGAACTCAATGTTTAGCTTCAAACACTGAATAATAAATAACAAAAAAGTAGTTTGAAATCAGTTCAGTGGTACATCCCTTGTCAAACATGTCAGATGGTATGCACGCCAGAAGTAACAATATCACACTTTGGACCCCAGATTTATAAAATGACTCAACCAGCAAGTCTCATCTCCGGTCACCCCGCTTTCTTTTTCAGTACTTTAAGTCGGTATGCATTTCATCGCAAAAGGAGTTTTAGTCCACAGAAAGCAGTCTCCGTATATAAAACCAAATGAGTGCAATTCCCATTGAAAATTAATGACAGGTGTTTGTGAGGTGTGAAGTGCACGATTTCACCCTTACTGGCCCACAAGGTGTTGCATCATTATTGCTATTATCCCTGCTCACCAGGCTTATAAACATTTCTCACTACGCACATCTCAGCTCTCTTCGGAGTATATGCAGCTGAAATACAGCCAATTCAGGCACATGTTTAAAAATGCTCTTTGTTGGAGAGAGGCAAGTACTGGGGGTACATGAAGGTGGTAAAATGATTTGTCGAGTTCTGTACATGTGAGGCAGTTGCTTGCTTCTGACCCTGAAGAGTGTGGCCCTGATTCTGTGATTGAGACAAACCATAAGTGCAGGACTACTCAGGTGTCATCACTGGGAAAAGTGTCAAATTCGTTGTGTCAGAGTACACATTTCTCTTTATATATTATGAGCATGTTGAATTTCATGCATAGTTCTTATCTTCACGTTGTACTTTTTGTGTTGGCAAAGATTGATAAATTCTGTGTTTTATTCCTATCAAGTTCTTCATGTCCTCAATAACACTAGTTGTTCGTATATTTGATGTAAAGCAGTGAAAAGATGTTCTCCCTACTTTTCATAATTAACTCTTGGCTGTTGATTGACATGCATGATTGAAAAAATGAATGCAAAAATCCACTTCTTGCGCGGGATTACATGTATAAGCAGAGACCACCACAATTTGAATATCGCCTGTTAAATTTTTGCTTGCCTGATGAAAAAGCAATCAATTATTAACTTTAATATGAAAAAATATAGTCCTTGCAGGATGAAATATGCTTAGCATCAACTCTCTAAAGCACAGATCTAGAATGTTGTATTATCCAAGAAATATATGAATTTGTATTGTTTACGTTTGAGTCTTGTGATCAATTGCATTGAATAATTTGTACTCTCCACAAATGAGAGTGGCCTGAATTTGAACACTTCATCAAAACGGTACAAAAGGTGGAGATAGATGGTAGCCTATGGACTGCCTTGTATGTACCTGTCAATGCGGTGTAAATTTTTGTAGTCGTGCAATTTCTCACAGTCACCCCTTTTTTTGCTATTAATATCAATATTAACCCCTAACTCCCTAGGGTGTGTACAGAATCATATTAAAATTGGAGGATTCAGGGCTGTTAGGGTTAATATAATTTGTATGTCTGTGAAGATTTGCGTCAACTTAGTGTTAAATGTCATAATTTTGTCAGCACAAGCATTGTTCCTGGCCCATATAGTTTTTAGTTGCTTTGTATGTGCTTAGAATGTCTCATTCTAAATCGTTTTATTCTATAAATATACAAAAATACCACCTCAGAAGGTGCTGTAGTCGTTTAGTAACACTCTACAACCAAGTGGACCTTACAGGGTAAAGTAAATGATGAGATTGTGCATTCACATGGTTTCCCGGAATCTCCATTGGACGAAGTTGATCACATTGTAGTTTTGTAGGGCACTTTGCATGGATTGAACTGCTGAATGTGTGTATATTTACTGCACAAAAGTCACTTGAAACAGTAACCCCTTTGGAATGTTTATTATTCATACTTCTGTGTATGGTTTAGGTCATAGTAGTCGGCAAGTAGTTTGCAGCAGTTTTGTATTTTAAATATCTGAAATATTTTTGAATTGTGAACTGACTTAGAGTGTTTGTTATGTTTGAATTAAAAACAGCCGGCTACATGTATATGTAGCTGAAACTTTTCATTAACAACTGGAATTTAAGTAAAGAATTATAAACATACAATCAGTGCATTCAAGCTGAAATAGAACAATTATTATTAGTTATTGAAATAACTATTTTGGCCTTCTGTTTAATGGATTCCCTTGTGGAGTGTTTGGTGAATAATTGGATGACTGTTGAGCTGTACGCACAGCATAGTAGGCAAGTGGGCATGTAGGGAGCGGAAAGACGATGATGGGGGCGCTGTTGATCGAAAAGATGTGCTTGACGTGTAATTGTACGCGTCAACGTCCGGTTGTGCATGGTGCCTTGTGGGGTACCGGAACAATGGAAGGTACCCCACAAGGCCAGTTTTGATCCTTGTGGGGTACTGAAGTGGTACCCCACAAGAATTTCACGAAACTGATATTTCGAATTCACTACAAAGGAGGAATTTTCAAGTGCCATTCATCTGTCGCATATTAAAGTGTTGATACATAAGGGACATACGGTCGAAAATTCAACCCAGGAAACTGAATTTGGTTGAAATGGCAGTGATTTGAAATTTTCGTGTTGTGTGGGAGTTTTTTGCACGAGAACAAAGGTATTTCAAATACCTCACAACAAAGGAAATACCCCACAAGTATACACATGTACGGGTGGGTGTGGTGGCTGCCGTGTGACTTAATCCTTGGACACTAAACGAGAGAGGGCGGGCACGTCCTAACGGTCTTGCGATAGGCTTACTATGGTTACGGGGATCTAATAGACACAGGAGGAAGACCCGGCTGGCCCTGGATGGATTTCTTAGTCCTTCGAACTGGTGTTTAAGTCCGGTTACACTGTACGGTTTTACAAATTCAATCAGAGTGGAGCATTACTGTTGATTTTTTAGTGGAGTGAATGTAAAACATATCATTATACAAAAGTTGTAAATTCTCTTGGGTGGCACGACGTCAGTTCAAATTTTTAACACGTAGCAAAGGGGTAATTTTACCCTTCGTGCTATGGATTAATGTGTAGAAGTTCCCGGCCGGTATCCGACCCAAGAATTATTACGCGATAGTCACATAACACACATAAAATTCAGTAGACTTCAGGTACTGGTTTAAGTGGTGTTTTTATTTCTCCTTTTTCGTCATTGATTTTTTTACAATTATCATACTAATTTTAAGAATTACTACAATAGTGAAGTCCAGAAGCTTAAGTTTTTCTTCGATATCATCCACAATGTTAAAAATTAAAATGTAGGCAACTTGACAGAAACTCCTTATAGTTGTCGAAAAAATTTTGCTTGACTGCCCAGAGGGTCCTTCTGTTTGCCTTTTGCCTGGCTTGACCTTCATCCATGCCTACTTGTCATATTTTTCATCCCACAACTCCTTATTTCGCTTCAGTCAGCCAATCTTGGTAGGTGGCATTGTCTTCCAATAGTTATCGGAGGTTTCGTCATCAAACTCAAAAAGTTCTCAATCATCGTCAACTTCATTTATGTCTGATTCCTCTTCAGCGTGGATATTTTCTATGTACCTCTCTAGATAAGACTTCCATCCAAAGCATGTGTTACGCTGGTGACACTCATAGCCGGGGTTTGACTGCAGAAATAACATTCATGTCGGCCCTTGGATGGATGATTTAAATGACAAGAAACAAATGAAATCGTTCGTTACATAATGTATATAAGACATGAATATGTATATCACTGCTCGTGATTTGCTCTTTTCTCTGCTCATTTTGCTCTTTTCATTGTTTATATTGTTCTTTCCATTACTCATTTTGCTCTTTACATCGTTTATGGAACACCTGTCCAAGTTTTATGTATGGCGCCCTCTCTTGATTGTAAAATTGTTTATATGCTTATTGTTGTCTAGAAAACTCGCTCACGTTTTGCTCAGATCCACATCGTTTGGGATGAAGTTCCAAATTGCCAACCTTGCTTTACGTTTTTGCAATCATTGCCTGTAAGTAAGTTACTCTCCTTGGAATCTTGGTCGTTATATAAATCATTATAGAATTTATAAGCGATTTTGGGCCTTAGTTTCTTGGAAACTTTCTGCTGCGTAACATTTTACAACTGGTTGAGGAGACTTTCACATTATATCGAGGTACATGTATTTTTCTCTCTAATTTATTCATGTTTCTCACAGTTAGATCCATATTTGCGAACATTTTTTTTCTGTCATTTTTCTCCCACGGTTTATGTAGTTTAGCTACATGTATTGCATGTGTTTACACGTAGGGCCTACATATATTTAGGACACAGTCTAATTTACTTAGTTTGTTCTCGCTTTATATTTCAGTTTCACTCCGTGTTCAGTAACAACACAGAATAAATCGGAGTTTAAGAAGTTTATCCCGGACTCTAGTATTCACTTAATTGGATTTTGGCTGGCTGTCGAATTGCGGTTCGCATAATTTAATTAGGCCTAAACACTGCAAGGAGGATAGTACGTTGTTCATTTTTCTCTTTTCATTTGCTCTGCTTTATTTACAGTTAAACTAAATGCGATCGCACTCCTTTAAAAGATTGAACGCGAGTTGACTGAGCTACAACTCTTGTACTTCTGTGGCCAAATAAATTGCCAAAAAATGACCTTTATACAAACTAAACATTAGTTGAACTTCAACCAAATCCTCATTTTTTTCCATTTTCAACGTATCCCATACCTGAACGCTGGCTTGCAAAGAAATTGTTTGGATTCTGAGCATCCTCAATTCTGACTTGACTCTTTCATAATCAGGAAAACCGACTGTGGACTTTAGGGCAATAAAAACGTCCTAGGTGCTTCGCTTATGCGAATAACATGGATTAGATCAAGACTTTCAGAAAAGCATACAAATATACAACCTTTGAAAAAATTGATTAAAAAAAGAGGCCTACGAAACTTGGTATTCCCAGGCGGTCCCCCATGTAAGAACTAACCAAGGCCGAGGCTGCTGAACTTCGGTGATCGGACGAGAACCGGTGTTTTTAAAGTGGTATGGTCATAGGCGTGTGATTCTCGAAGCTTGCCGTAACCTACCTAAATTGACGTCTTGGCAAAAAATTGTCGAGATTCTGAGCAGCCTTGTGTTGGACTTGACGCTGAAACGTAACATAAATAAAGCGATTGTGGACTTCAGTGATATTCAAAAATAAATGTGACCCAATCTGTGAAAATGAGTCCTAAGTCGCCAGAGCCACTTTGGAGTAAGAAGTCTTTAGAACAATTTTGCACAGTGTAAGTTATTAGGAACCCACTGCATTTGTCACCATGGAGTATCCACTTTTATCAGGATGCCAAACTGAGTGATACATCAAAAGAAAAAAGTTGATTTGCTTTTTCCAATACAAATGAAAACTCCAAAAGTGGCTCTGGCAACTTAAGACTCATTTTCACAGAGTGGGTCACAAATTGTCAAGATTCTGAGCATCCTCAATTCGGACTTGACTCTAAAAAGTTGTCAAAAAGATTGTGGACTGGAGAAGACGGGGAAGTATTTTCATTTAAAAATTCAAGAACCATACTCATGTGGTCTTCATTATATTTCACAATTCTGCAGTGGTTAATCTGGCCTAAGATCACTGGCCCTGTGTGGTATCTCAGCCGAGTGCATTATACCTTGCACTCACTCAAGAGATCACATGCATTTTCGTAATTAAGCGATGTCGAGCAATGGACCTTTGAACGTGAAGTTAAAGGACAGTTGAGTTTCTAATTACATTTCATGCTTTAGAAGGTCGCTTCTGTTGGCCAGTCCTCCATCAGTTGCGTATTTGGAAAAACTTTGCGCAGATAAGTAAGAAAGACCCTTAAAACCCTTAGATAGGCTGTTTGCTTTAAACTGTCTTCGTGAGGGGACTCAGTGAACTTGTTTGATTTCAACGGGTTTTAGGTTTTATTTCTGTGGTTATATATTATGAACGCCCTTTGTAATTTTATAAGTATAAAAACAAACGAAAATTGTATATGACCAAACTAAGACATATATTGCAATAAAGTGAAATAAACCTAAATGAAACTAATATATAATTTACGAAAGAAATAAATATAGGACGAAACTAATACATAAAGTACGAAACCAATCTATGTATAGGACAAAAGTACATATAAAGGACAAAGGTGATTTATATAGGACGAAAACTCGTATATATATTTACAACAAAATTCATATATAAATGACGAAACTTATACGATAATAGTATACAAGACAAAACGTAGGCCCTATACATATAGGACGAAACTAATATATGTAAGATGAAACTAAGAACGAAACTAATAAATAGAACGAAGCTAAAAAATATAGAGGGAAAGCTATACGAGAAGTAGTTGACAAGCTTCTTCAAAACCCTGCTTTCCATGAATTAGTTGCTTTTAATGTTATGCCCACTGGAAAAGGGCCTATTATATGCCTACTGCTACTTGTGTCGGTGTTACTTACGCAATGCCTGACACTGGCAGCAGTCCCCCCTGGCTGACGTCAGCGGCCGACTGTCAACAACGTGGTCAATCACAATCGGCGTGACCTGGCAACAACCGGTAACTTTACAATGTAGCCTAACCATGATGAAGGGCTTCGGAACCATTTCGGAACAACTGAAAAATATGGTCGAAAAATGCGACGCCTGCTAAAAAATGCGACGCTGGATGGCACATATGGAACACCATAGAAAAAGGTCTGCATCGTGGTAAGGAGTTCGGTGGTCGCCCAGAGACCGAACACTGCGCTGGCAAGGGCTGGTGGCGTTGCACTATGACGGGTGCACCCTGGTAATTAGGCCAGAAATATGTCCGCCAAGCTCATTAATAAAAGT